CAGCGTTGCATGACCGCGCAATTGTCAGTTAAAGTAACGCTATATCGCAAAAAATGGCCTGGTCAGGAAGAGGAGTAAATCCTCTGGAGGGCAAATGGTTAACACCCACACGCTACACATATGCAGCCATGGGCGACAGAGCATTCTATGCTGAGAATACACTCACTGTGTGCTCCCAACACAGTGTCCAAGCTAGCAAAAACAGCTCTTGGTCTCTACCACTGTGACTGCCAATTACAGGGGGTCATGTGATCAACCTGCCCCCCCCTGACCTAGCAATGAACTCTGCATTTGGATTATTATATCACCTCCTCATTGCCTACTTTAACCCTTTGATTATCACACTTGTGTGCTACATCTACAGGGAAAACTCAAAAAAATTGAATATCGTGCAAAAGTTCATTTATTTCAGTAATGCAACTTAAAAGGTGAAACTAATATATGAGATAGACTCATTACATGCAAAGCAAGATAGTTCAAGCCGTGATTTGTCATAATTGTGATGATTATGGCTTACAGCTCATGAAAACCCCAAATCCACAATCTCAGAAAATTAGAATATTACATGCAATCAATAAAACAAGGATTGTACATAGAACAATATCGGACCTCTGAAAAGTATAAGCATGCATATGTACTCAGTACTTGGTTTGGGCTCCTTTTGCAGCAATTACTGCCTCAATGCGGTGTGGCATGGAAGCTATCAGCCTGTGGCACTGCTGAGGTGTTATGGAAGACCAGGATGCTTCAATAGCGGCCTTCAGCTCTTCTGCATTGTTTGGTCTCATGTCTCTCATCTTTCTCTTGGTAATGCTCCATAGATTCTCTATGGGGTTCAGGTCAGGTGAGTTTGCTGGCCAATCAAGCACAGTAATCCCACGGTCATTGAACCAGGTTTTGGTGCTTTTGGCAGTGTGGGCAGGTGTCAAGTCCTGCTGGAAAATGAAGTCAGCATCCCTATAAAGCTGTCTGTGGAAAGAAGCATGAAGTGCTCGAAAATCTCCTGGTAGACGGCTGCATTGACCCTGGACTTAGTGAAGCACAGTGGACCAACACCAGCAGATGACATGGCTTCCCAAATCAACACAGACTGTGGAAACTTTACACTGGACTTCAAGCATCTTGCAGTGTGTGCCTCTCCATTCTTCCTCCATACTCTGGGTCCTTGGTTTCCAAATGAGATGCAAAAGTTGCTGTCATCAGAAAAGAGGACTTTGGACCACTGAGCAACAGACCAGGTCTGTTTTTCTTTAGCCCAGGTAAGACGCTTCTGACGTTGTTTGTTGTTCGGGAGCGGCTTGACAAGAGGAATACGAGATTTGAAGCCAATGCCCAGGATCTGTCTGTGTGTGGTGGCTCTTGATGCACTGACTCCAGCCTCAGTCCACTCCTTGTGAAAGTCCCCAACACTTTTTAATGGCCTTTTCCTGACAATCCTCTCCAGGCTACGGTCATCCCTGCTGCTTGTGCACCTTTTTCTTCCACACTTTTCCCTTCCACATAACTTTCTATTAGGCTACGGTCATCCCTGCTGCTTGTGCACCTTTTTCTTCCACACTTTTCCCTTCCACATAACTTTCTATTAATGTGCTTTGATACAGCACTTTGGGAACATCCAACTTATTTTGCAATTACCTTGTGAGGCTTTCCCTCCTCATGGAGGTTGTCAATGATGGTTTTCTGCACAACTGTCAGGTCAGCAGTCTTTCCCATGATTGTGATTCCTGCTGAACCAGACTGAGAGACCATTTAAAGGCTCAGGAACCCTTTGCAGGTGTTATGGCTTAATTAGCTGATTAGAGTGGGACACTTTGAGCCTAGAATATTGCACCTTTTCACAATATTCTCATTTTCTGAGATTGTGGATTTGGGGTTTTCATGAGCTGTAAGCTATAATCATCACAATTATGACAAATCACAGCTTGAACTATCTTGCTTTGCATGTAATGAGTCTATCTCATATATTAGTTTTTACCTTTTAAGTTGCATTACTGAAATAAATCAACTTTTGCACGATATTCTAATTTTTCGAGTTTCACCTGTACATGCATTGTGCGCAGTTGCAGGGCAACCCCGTTCACTTAACCACTTCAGTAGTGGACACTTTCACCCCCTTCCTGCCCAGGCCAATTTTCAGCTTTCAATGCTGTTGTACTTTGTATGACAATTGCGCAGTCATGCAACACTGTACCCATATGAAATTTTTATAATTTTTTCAAGATTTTTGTCTCACAAAATGATATAAAGATTCACCCTGTATTTGTACTTGTGACAGTTGTAACCAAATCAGATACTGAAGAGGAACCCACAGTTTTAAAGTTCTCTCTAGAACAGGGGTGCTCAACCCTTGGCCCGCAGAGCCCTCTGATGTGGTGGCTCTTGTCCCGGCTGGAGTGATACCAAGTGCACTTCACCCGGGACCTTCTAGCAGCCTGGAGAGCGATGCCAGCAGAAGCTGGAAAAGGAAAAGGTCAGTGTATTAAGCAACGCATAGATTGCACTTTTGTAAACGATATATTAGCACCTATAAAGGGTTAACAACTATTAGGCTCCTTTCACACTGATACAAGGGAGCATACGCTCCCCAGAGCTTTCCTGTGGGTTAGCTGCATTGAGCCATGGACTTCTATTATATCCTGAGGGTTTGCAGGAGTCTGGTGCACTTTCTGAAAGTGTACCACACCCACAAGATATAATAGAAGAAAATCGGAGCTATACCTCAGGAAAGAGGCAGGTGCACTGCCTGCAGTGAATCAGTGTGAAAGCAGCCTTATAGGGGGCTCAGGACAGTATTATCATTTATATTTGCAGTTGGGGGGGTCAGTAAAACCCTATATTTGAGATGTGTTTTTACTACACCCCTCCAACCACTGGTGTAGCCTCAGGGGTCGCAATGGCAACCCCACCCCATACTCCAGGGAGCCCGTGCGGCCTCCCTGTCACATTCTGTTTTACACTTGGATAGGTGGGGTGGTATATACAGGAACCAATCCTCTCCATTTTCCTCCTGCATCCGCTGAAAGCCAGCTTCTCCCCCTCCCGCCAACATTCAGAGGCTGCAAGAGGAAAATGTTCATTATGCTATTTAAAATAAAAAATTCAAAATTCTGAACCATTTCATTTAATTGTGGACCGCTACCGGCTACCAAATCACTTAAAGTGTTAGTAAACCCAGGACTCTGCATTCACTATATCTGGTCTCCCACACAATACACAGAACATGGAAATGCAATTATTTTAGTAAATATAAACTGCTAAATACCTTTTCTCATAAGCAGTTAGAGCAGTCTTGTGACTTCTATCAGTATCCAGCAGAGCACTGGTAAAAAATTTAGGGTTTTTTGTTCTGCTCTAGGAGGATGCAGAAGCCCTGACCTCTGTGTGGACAGTGCTGATTGGCCCTGTGATGATCACATGTACTCTCCCAACAAAAAAAAAAACCTCTAGCAATACACACCAAACTGAGCATGTGCAGAGTGACTCCACACAGTATGTCTTAAGAGGTGATAAGAGGGGGGCACTGGAAGAAGGGGAGGATCAGAGAAATAAGGATCAAAAAGCGGTTTTACATAATGCAGAGGATTAACCCCTTAGGTTCCACAGTGAGTATAACAAGCAGACTGATTTTACTGTTGTGGGTTTAATAACACTTTAAAGTATAACTGAAGGCAAACTTTTTTTTTACATTTTGGATAGAGTGGAGAGGGATTAGAACTCCTGTCGGGTTTTTATTGCTGACTGTGCCCCCATTAGGGAGATTCCCCCTCTCTATATGTCCTGTTTACCATTATTATTGAAAGTGATAGAAAATCCCTAATGTTGGGTTATTATTATACAGGTATTCTATAGTGCCAGCAGTTTACACAGCGCTTTGCAACATAAGGACAGACAGTACAATTACAAGACAAATGAATACGTTTCAGATGGCCTTGTTCGTTGGAGCTTACAATCTAAGAGGGAGGGTCGAGAGATACAAAAGGTAATAACTGTGGGGGATGGGCTGATGGACAAAATATATGTACAGTTGTTAGGTGGGGGCAGGATAGGCCTGAGTTTTCAGGGATTGTCTAAAAGTGAACACAGATGGGTTTTCCCCAGAAAAGTAAGAGGGGGAATCTACCAATGGGGACACTAATTCTGGTGACCTGGGGGTCCCCAAGAAATTCCCTTCACTTCCTGTCCCATAGCCAAACAGGAAGTGAGAGGAAATCCCTGTTTGGCTATGGGACAGGAAGTGAAGGTAAATGTTCCCAATGGGACAAAGATGGCGAAAAGAAATCTTCTCTATCCAAAAATGAAAAAAAAAAAAGGTTTTGCCTATAGTTCTACTTTAAGTGGCCCTCTTCAAAGAGTTGAACACCTCTGCCCTAGAACAAGAGAAGAGGGAAGATTTTCCTGTGGGGACAACTAAGGGAAAAAAATTTAGATTTCCTCACAATTCCTGTGGCATATCTGTGACAGGAAGTGAAGGAAACTTTCGCCAGTACGACAAAGCAGCTAAGGTTTAACCTTTTGCTGTTCTACCCAGGGGCAGACTGACAACTCATGGGGCCCCCGGGCAATAGGGGATCATGGGGCCCCTGTGTCCTTGCCCAAACTCAAAAAAGCCTATGAAAAAGGTACCAGGGGCATCTCATGGGGCCCCCTACTGACCCTGGGCCCTCGGGCAGTGCCCGAGTTTCCAAATGGTCAGTCCGCCCCTGGTTCTACCCCAAACTAAAACCGCTGTTGGCTGTGCATTCACTCTAACATTCTAGCAGATACATTTTAAAAATCCCTCCAACTTTATATGGTCTTGTTGTTAATAAAGTTGGTAACGAGAACTCAGAGCTGCATCTCTGCCATTAGAGGAACGTGTCATCCTTGCCACTTCCTAGCTGGGTGACGTCAGCCGGTGCAGTGTGCCCGGGCGCCGTTCTGATTGGTCGGCCGGGAGGACGTGGCAGCCGGTGTGAAGCTACCTCAGCTTCCGGTGAGCCTTCCCTTTCGTGCTCGAAGATGGCTGCCGCCTGGTTGCTGCTGTGTCTCTGGCCGCCTGTGTGGGCCCGGTGTCCTCCCTGTATTTCCATATCGGGGAGACCGAGAAGAAATGTTTCATTGAGGAGATTCCTGACGAGACTATGGTGATAGGTGAGGCACAGGGGGCTGGAATCCTGCTGCGGGGAAGAAGTCATGGAGCATAGCCTGCCATAGTCCGTGTCTATTGTATGTCTATGTTAGGGTGGCAGGTGGGACCTGGCAACTTTTATGAGGAATAATGTGGAGGCAGCCATAACTGGCCTGTCATCCTGGAAGTGATTGTCCCCTGGAATCAATATCTCCAGTCACAAGCCTGAAACCATGAATGGGATGAGGAAAGGGAAATGTTTTCTTCATATTTGTTCCATTCCAGGGACAGCGGAACTCCGGGAATTAGACCAATCCTAGCAGTGCTCAGCCTCCCCTCCCATAGGTAAATGCTTGTCTTAATCTACAAGTCTATTACCTTCTCGTCTGTCCAAAGCTGTAGGCGGTTCCTCAGCACCATCACATGCATGGCAGAGCTGTCAACCTTGCATTGTACATAAGGAGACATGCGTGGGACTGCCACTGAGAACGCCTTAGAAAGACAGCCGCACTGGATGGGTCACACCACTGAAGGAACCCTGCTGACGCCAGGATTAAGGTACGTATTGCACCTCACTTCTGCACCCCTAGATTGCAGGGGGCCTGCTGCAAGGGCAGACTTTGGCTGCTTTCACACTGATCAGTTTTTCTTCTGTTTTGGCATTAAGTACTTGCCTACCTCGCACTTTTACCCCCTTTGTGCCTAGGTCAATTTTTTGCTTTCAGTGCTGTCGCACTTTGACAATTGCGCAGTCATGCAACACTGTACCCATATGAAATTTTTATTTTTTTTTCACACAAATAGAGCTTTCTTATGGTGGTATTTAATCACCACTCAGTGTTTTATTTTTTTGCACTATAAACAAAAAATAGGAGGAAAAAAAAAAGTTTTTCTTTTTATCATAAACTTTTGCAAACGGGTACGTTTTCTCCTTCACTGATTTGTGTTGATGAGGCTGCACTGATAGGCACTGATGAGGCTGCACTGGTGGACATTGATGAGGAGCACTGATATGCAGCAATGATGGTCACTGATGTGGTACACTGCTGAGTGTCACTGCAGGGAACTGATCATCAGTGCTGATCTACTCTGTGACAGCTGCCTGTTATTGGCAGTACTGCTATCTGTATTTGTATCTCCCTCCTAGATTGTAAGCTCGAAAGAGTAACCCCTCGTGTGCTGTTTGTAGTTGCTGTACTGTTTCATGTATTGTCCCCCCCCCCCTCTATTGTACAGCAACCCCTTTGGCGCTATATAAACTCGATGTAATATATTTACTCTGTAAATACACTGTAAAACCGGCAACTGTATTTACTCTGTCATCTGCTGTGTCATTGGACACAGCTGATCACGTGGTAAAGGGCTGCTGTGATTGGCCTCATCACTTGATCATAGAGATCGCCAGGTGCACACCCCTGGGAGTGCACGGGAGGATATAGTCATATGACGCCCTCCCAGAACTGGACAACCGCGCTGTAGTGTGGTTAAAAAAAGGGAAGAAAAATGCATGAAAACTAAATCCTATGGCACTCTTTACAGTGATCAGTTGCGTTTTTCAAAGTTCTGCCAGCTGCATTTTTGGTGCGGTAATGAAACCGCATCAAAAATGCTCCTCTCCATTAAAAAGGAATAGAGAAGGTAGCAAAAATGCACCCGTGGGTGTGTTTTTTGAAGCGTTTTTAGAGTCGCATGTCGTGTGGGTTTTTTTTTTTTTTTTTTTTTTTTTTTTTTCCCCCCACTGGTGGGAGACGCAGTAAAAAACATGCCTTTTTACAATGGAGCCGTGTGAAAGTAGCTGTTTTTTGGGCAGCATGGTAGATAAGTGGTTAGCACTTCTGCCTAGCAGCAATAGGGTTATAGGTCCAACTCCCAGCCACGGCACTACTTGCCTGGAGTTTGCATGTTCTCCATGTGCCTGCATGGGTTTCCTCCCACACTCCAAAGACCTGGTGGTAGATAAATTGGATCCTATCTAAATTGGCCCTAGTATGTGTGTGTATGTATGAATGTGAGTTAGGGACCTTAAATTGTACACCCCTTGAGGGTGAAGGCAGGGACTGATGCGAATGCACAAAATTTATTTAAAGCACTGTGTAAATCGACAGTGTTATATAAGTACCTGTAATAATAAAGTAAAATAAATAATTCCCAGAATTCAGCTTTAAAGTAGTACCAGAGCCTTGTCATTTTTAGCCAGATCACATTGTTAAAGATTCATGTTGCACAAGGCAATAAATAATTCCTCTCCAAAGCTGTAAGAAAGATCCACATGAGTATATCTGTCTAGAGCAGGGGTCCTCAAACTGCGGCCCACCGAGGACATTTATCCTTTCCGCCGGCAAGGGCATATTTGCCGCGAGGAAGGGACACTAAGCACAGGGGCGGGCAGGGGGCTGCTGTATCTTACCTGGCTCCGTGTCCCAGTCCCACAACGATCCAGTTCAGGAAGTGCTGCTCCTTCATTCACTCCGGCTACTCCCTCACTCGATGTTTGCGCTGCCGCTCAGCTCCACCTCCTCACCAGTGATTGGGCGCCAGAACTGTAGCTCAGGAGAGGCACACAGGCGGCCAATCACCTGCGAGGAGGCCCCGCGAACATCGAATGAGGAAGAGGCCGGAGTGAAGAAGGACAGCTGACAGGTAAGTGTGCCGTGCAGATGGCGTTGCTGCAACCAGGTATGCTGGCTGCAGCAGCACTATGCTGGAACAGGGGTCAGCAAGTTAAGTGTCATTGGTGTCAGTGGGAGGAATAGTGCCCCATCATTGGTGTCATTGACACCAACGATGGGGCACTGTTCCACTCCCCACTGACACCAACGATGGGGCACTGTTCCACTCCCCACTGACACCAACGATGGGGCACTGTTCCACTCCCCACTAGTATGACAGCTAAAGTTCTGGTCATCGGTTACAACCTTCATGTAATGTTCACTGCAGGTTGACTTTAAAACCCAGTTCCACCCTTTGTGTAACCCCCAACCCATCCCCCCTCCCTCATTCCTTTTTTTTTCCCTTTTCTTTATACATACTGTTGTCCTGTAGTTGTCAGTCCAGTAACACCTTGGGTCCTTCCTATTCTTTATTAGCTGTAGTTCGCCTGGACACTCTGGTGCTCTCACATAATGATATGTATTCCATGTTTTTGAAGCACTGTGACCAAGCTGGATGCCGTGACCTCAAGAGGCATGTCCATGCTGGTGGCCTGGGTTCACTAGAATGATGTGCAGCTTCCATCTTTCCCAGGAAGGATGGAGCCAAGAGTCTTTTGGGGACAGCAGATATTGTTTTTTATTATTATTATTGTCTTACATGCTAGTCAGTAGGATTAAAAAAAAAAATATATATTTTTTTTATTTGTTTTTGTTAAATTAAAAATGGCATTGGTGCTTTAGCTTTGCTGCCTGTAATGCTACCAAAGCTTGGCTTAGCTGACAGCACATTAGTATATTTCCAGTGGCAGTATTCTGCTGCAGGGGTATAACTTGAGCTACTCATAATACTTTAAACACCTCATCATAACACCCTTCTGAGTGCCCCTAGCAAGCCACTCGATCTGTGTGTGTCTGTTGACACACAGCACAACTCATCCCCACTCCCTCCTTACAGGAGCATTGGTCTCCTGTTGCCTCTATTTCCTGTGAGAAGAGAGAGCAGTGCTAGATCAAGATTGGGCTCAGGTAATTATTGGGGGGGAGCTGACCATTGAAGGTGTTTTTTTTTTTTTTTTTTTTTTTTTTTTTTTTTAACTTTTTACCTTTAATGCAGGAAGTGCAATAAAGTAAAAACTGTAAGCCCTTATGACCACTTTAACTTAAAAACACAGTACTAAAACTATATTGTGGAAAAGCTCTAAAGTGGGACAGCACAGTGGCTTAGGTGACACTGGGGTGCTCGGTCTGAATCCTGGCCAGGATGCTATTTGCATGGAGTTTTCATGTTGCACTCACTGTGCTTGCATGAGTTCCCTTTTCCACACACACACCAACCCCCCCTCCCGAAGCCATTTGATTTACCGATTCTGGTAGGTTAATTGGATCCATTCTAGAATGTGTGTTTGTCAGTGTTGTGTAAGTGTCTGTAATAAATATATAAATAAAGGTGATTGTAAGCAGTTTGACATTCAGGTAGTTTCTGATGTTCTGCAGCAGACAAAAGAAAATCATTCTATACGCATGGCTAGTACAGTGTTTGCATGCCTACCTTTTTGTATTTCGAAGACTTTTGAGAATACTTCTGGGGCTGACACACTTATATTTTGATTAGCTATGGTATATTCTCCACTTCCAACAGGACAGCTACTTGAGAAAATGATTGGCTCTGCCTTCAACAGGAACCACAAACATTAGTATTTGGTCTTGTGACATCTCTAAATAACAGGTGCATGATCGTGACTTGAAAAGTATACATACAGCAAGAGGTGTCTTTATGTCACTGCAGGTAATTACCGCACGCAGCTGTATGACAAACAGAGGGAAGAGTATTTGCCTGCAACACCCGGGCTTGGCATGTTAGTAGAGGTGAAGGATCCTGATGATAAGGTGAGTACATCATTCCAAACTAGTTTTTGAGTTGTAGCTATAAAAATGTCCTTTCTAATTCATGGCAAATGTTTCCATTCTAGGTTATTCTGTCTCGTCAGTATGGCTCAGAGGGGCGCTTCATCTTTACATCGCACACTCCAGGAGAGCATCAGATATGCCTGCATTCTAACTCGACTAAATTTTCCCTCTTTGCCGGTGGCATGCTGGTGAGTATTGGATCCTCTGTAATAGACACAATAACTATTGCAGGGTTTAACAAATTATTGTAGATTTAAGAAACCAGTTCGTACATGAAGAGAGTCAAGGAACATTGATTTAGTTTCTCAATGATAGAAAATAGATTCCAAAGTTTTGTTGTGTGTCTAACTTTTCTTCTGTGCATTAAAGCTTGGGATTGTTAAGCTGACTATATCAACCCAGAGATCCAGGTTCCCTCCAAAAAACTAAGTCAGCAGCTACAAATACTGTAGCTGCTGACTTTTAATCTAAGGACGCCTATCTGTCGGTGCTTTGTAAATGGGTCAGTATTCTGGGACCTGTGAAGTGTCCCAGAAGGCTAGGTGGGGGGGGCTGAGGTGGGGGGGGGGGCTCGAATTTCCGGCTCAGATTGCTGCAGCGCATCTGACTGGGAGTGGGTACCTGTCAAAACCACGTACCCGCCCCCCCCTCACAAAAGTGCCAAATGTGGAGGGGGGGGGGCCCTTTTGGGTGAAGTTCCGCTTAAACAGTAGATGCACTTTGATGTTGGTTTAGGGGTGTGGGGGGTTCATTTGCGCAATGTTGCATCCTAAATATGGTGATAATATAGTGCAAAAGGTGGAGTTGGCCTTTAAAACATACACTAGATTGCCAAAAGTATTATGACGCCTGCCTTTACACGCTTCCCAGTCTTAGTCCGTAGGGTTCAATATTGAGTTGGCCCACCCTTTGCACCTATAAGACCTTCAACTCTTCTGGGAAGGCTGTCCACAAGGTTTAGGAGTGTGTCTATGGGAATGTTTGACCATTCTTCCAGAAGCACATTTGTGAGGTCAGGCACTGATGTTGGACAAGAAGGCCTGGCTCCCAGCCTCTGCTCTAATTCATCCTAAAGGTGTTTTATCGAGCTGAGATCAGGACTCTGTGCAGGCCAGTCCAGTTTCCTCCACCCCAAACTCACTCATCCATGTTTTTATGGACCTTGCTCTGTGCACTGGTGCGCAGTCATGTTGGAACAGGAAGGGGCCATCCCCAAACTGTTCCCATGAAGTTGTCCAAAATGTCTTGGTATGCTGATGCCTTAAGAGTTCCCTTCACTGGAACTAAGGGGCCAAGCCCAACCCCTGAAAAACAACCCCACACCATAATCCCCCTCCACCAAACTTTACACTTGGCACAATGCAGTCAGGCAAGTATTAAAATGTATTTTTTAATAGTTCTGCAATTTCTTTGTATTAGACCTAATGTAAGCCCCAGCTCCGCTGTTTTTCAGACAGGGGAATGGACAGCACTAGAATTAAATCAAGTAGAGAGCACATACATCCTTTGACCAAGTGCTATCCTTCACTATCCCATTGCACTCCTGACCAAGCTGTAACGTTTGGTATGCAGTGAAAAGCGGGGGTGGTCAGTATCTTGCTATGGTGTACGTTTTTGAAAATGGGTAAGGCTTAGGAGGTGCATTAACATTTGAATGTAGATCACAAGAATCATGGTTGACAGATCTTTTAACATTTAGAAACATGTCTTTTTGTAAAATATAGCTATTTGATGTAATGAGATAAGGTTGCTTGATGACTAAATTTTCCATTCTTTTTAACAGTCTGTGCATGGGCAGTTTTAATTTTTCTTTACACATGAAAACCCATGTTTTAACCTTTTGACACCTTTGGTGCTATCCTGTCTTTGTGGGCAAGTCAATAACATAAAATCTGTTTTCCTTTCTTTTTTTTCTTTTTTTTTTTTAAGCTTTTGCATTTCATGCTCCCTGGGGCTCATTTACCTGAATATTTTTATCCAGGCATGTTACTGCGAACAGCATATGAGTTATTCATTGCTTTTGACTGCTGACCAGTTTACTTGGCTTAATTTGTGTCCTTGAAGCCACCTTTTGCCTACGTGGCATATTTTCAACACTTTCTGATATGTGTGTTTTTCTCTACAGAGGGTTCACCTTGACATCCAGGTTGGGGAACATACCAATGATTATGCCCAGATTGCTGCCAAGGACAAATTAAGCGAGCTACAGTTACGTGTACGACAACTGATAGAGCAAGTGGAACAGATTCAAAAGGAGCAAAATTACCAAAGGGTAAGGGAATAGCTAATCTGGTGTATGTGTGTGCGCGCACATGTGTTTTGGTTTTATTTATTGCCATTTTTTTCTGCTAAAATATTTTTGACCTTGCCGGATGATTCTATATGGTAACACATATGGTAAATGTATTTCTTAATCCCTGTGCAGATAGGATCTCCATCTTGCTGTTGTTTATGCAAAATAATGGGGAAAAAGGGGTTATTTGCATTCAGATGAGTAGATTGCTAAAGCATTAAAAACTGTGCTATTGATTGGTATCAAATAAGGTATCTAGGAATGCCCCAGTAATGACTGGTCTTGTAGCACCATAGGTCAAAGATGGGGGAGGTCCACTGTATATGAAATAAGAACAGACCTAGTGCATCAAAAATGGATAATTAAAAAAAAAAAATAAAGCATTGCACTCAAGTGTCACCAGATGTGCTGTGTATATAAGCCTTGTGTAAGAGTTTCCAAAACCAGCCCTGCATGCCAGAGGGCTGGTATCAGCTCAGTTTTCAATACAGCACAGAGGGCCACCTGAAGATGAACAGCAGCATCAGTGTGGTTCAGTGGCATATGGTATCGGACAGCTAGGAAGTGCATTTTGTAGGAGCATCCGCCTTTGTCAAGTTATAGAGGTTGTACATAATGTAGAGCTAGTTGCTCAGCAAGATGTCCATTCGGGGACTTTCTCGTAATGAGCTTAAAATTAGCTGTTTTGGAGGGCAATATGATATCATCTTTTCTCCATCATGGCACAAGTGTCAGGTTTTATTGCAGGATTACGTTCTGCCTGACCATTCTGTTGATAATGATACACACAAAAGACCCTCATAGAACAAGTGGGCTATTTAAAGGCTACGTTCACCTTGATCAGCTTCCTACAGCTCTGTGCCTGTACGTCTATACATACTGTCTGTTTCAGAGCTACAGGAAGTGTGAATGGACTACAACTACGCTGAGCAGCATGCTTGCAGTCTAAGTACAAACTGTTTTCTGTGGTAACAGATGAGACTTGCAGTTTTTTTCATTCCCTGATCCCTGTGAATGAATTGTGTGACTGTGAGGGAGGAGGCTTGGGGGAAAGGAGATTGAGGAGTGAGGGGAACATATGCTGGAACATGTTACACCCTAACCATGGATGTAACATATCCAAAAGATGAACTTATCCTTGAAGGTTAAATGAAAAAAAACTATAGATTCTGTTACTTGACAGTTTTACCCTCCAGCAGGTTAATTGGGGTGTCAGTTAAAAGCCCTGAGTAGAGGCAGGAGAACATTCTGTCTCAATGGGGCTCTGACAAAGTTGACTTTTTTTTTTTTTTTCAGTAGATAATGCAAATAAACAAACCCAATGTATGAGTGGAGGGTCAGATTTTTACAAATGCCCATTTACAGTGTTTTTACTTAAAGTGGAATTACATTTTTTAGGTACCCCTGAATGCCATGATGTCAAATGAGAAATGAGTGCACCCAGCAGTTTGTAAGATGTCAGCCTTGTACACTGAACTGTGCATGTACGGCTGTCTGTAATCAATGCGTAACAAAAAACTAGCAGGCGGGGAATGATTTTATGGCAAAAGAGACATATTTATCTGCTATGAACATTGCAGTCATAAGTGCACAGACATGTCCCAAAGGAGATAATGAAAACTGTCATCAGTAATGAAAAACCACTGCTGCCATAGTAAATCACATGAGTGAATCCAGGAATACTGACAAGAGCCAGGCGCTGTGGAGTTTATAATTGTATAAAAACACCTTTTATGGAGGTGTGCCTTTAATAGAAGAATGAAGTGTAACAAGGTAAAATGTATTAAATGCACAAGCCTGTGGCTTTAACCACTTCCAGACCGGACACTTTTACCCCCTTCCTGACCAGGGCAATTTTTAGCTTTTAGCGCTATCACACTTTGACAATTGCGCGGTCATGCAACACTGTACCCAAATGAATTTTTTACCATTTTTTTGAGACTGATAAAGCTTTATTTTGGTGGTATTTATTCACCACTGGGATTTGTATTTTTTTTGCTATGTAAATGAAATGTCCAAAAATTTTGAAAAAGTGTTTTTTTTATAAAATTTTGCAAATAAATATTTCATCATAAATCTTAGCCAAAATTTATTCCGTTATCTTTTTAGTAAAAAAAAAAAAAAATCCAAATTAGTTTATAACCAAAAATTATAATTTTTAAACTTTTTTTTTTTTACATTTTTATTTTTTTTTATATTTTTTATTTTTATTTTATTTTTTTTTACATACTGTCACCCTAGCAGTACAGTGTCACCATGGTGACACTGTACTACTTGTGGGGGGTGATGATTTTTTTTTTTTTTTACACTGATTGCTTTTACACCCATATAGGATGTAAAAGCAATCACTCTCTGTCTGCATTCTTGCACTCATTGAGAAGTACTGAGTGAGCTGTGATTGGTCACAGCTTGTCACATGGTACAAGGCTTTTGTGAATAGCCTTGTACCATGTGACCTCTGTGATCATTCACAGATTTCACACGTAGTAAGCAATGATGTCATAAGTGACATCTTGCTTACTACTTTGCATGTGATCGGGACCTCGTACAGAGGTCCCGTCCGACGATCGGTGTTTCACTGTGTCCGGAGGACACAGCGGGCACCGGATCGCGGTGCTGCGCGCTCCGAGGGAGCGTGCACAAGCAGGGTGCGGGGAGGCCGTTTATGAACGGCCACCCGACCCTGCAGTGCTACCGTCCGGCCGTTTATATGCAACGGCCGGTCGGGAAGTGGTTAAGATGCCAGGTATCCTGAAGGATGGCCCGTCTGCTTAGACGGAGGGGAGGAACCCACGCTGAAGCCGCAGCTTAGGAAGAGGAGGCCGGTTGCCAGGACAACACGTTTCTCGCGCATGTGCTTTCTCAAGTCCTCTTCCTATGCTGCGGCTTCAGCGTGGGTTCCTCCCCTCCATCTCCCTGACATTGTGGTGACGTCACCCGGTACATCGCGACCTTGTGGTCCCTGTTTGACAGGCGTTCTTCTCTTCCGCAGCTCCCCTCTGAGCGGACGGGCCGTCCTTCAGGATGCATCTTAAGCCACAGGCTTGTGCATTTACCGTATTTTACCCTGTTATTCTCCATTCTTCTATTAAAGGCACACCTCCATAAAAGGTGTTTTTATATGATCATAAACTCCACAGCACCTGGCTCTTGTCAGTATATTTATCTGCTAGCAGTGTTTTACATTTCAGGCTTAGACCAAGTCAGTCCATTTTATTTATTTAACTTTTTGTCTGAGTATAGATTCATGTTTGTCCCATGCATGTTTAAATGCTTATAGTTGACTACCTCTGCTGGATGGCTATTCCAAGCATCAAAGAGCAGTGCTTGGAATATGCTTACAGCAGAGGTAGTGAATCGGTCAACAATAAGTATATTCAAACATGCACGGGACAAACCTAGCTATATTCAGGAAAAATATAGACAGACTCCATGGACCACACTTTTTTTTTTTTTTTTTTTTCTGCTGACACACTGTTTCTATAAATCAAGGTTTCAATCTTTCTCTGTTTCTGACCTTTTTATTTCTGTTCCAATTTAGTGGCGGGAGGAAAGGTTCCGTCAGACCAGTGAAAGCACTAACCAGCGTGTTCTGTGGTGGTCTATTGCCCAGACTCTGATACTTGTGGCCATTGGAATTTGGCAGATGAGGCATCTTAAAGGTTTCTTTGAAGCAAAGAAACTGGTGTAAGCTATTCGAAGAAAGCAGGGTTTGTTTTGCCAGAAATTATGGACCCCACCACATCCAGCTTTTGCTTCTTACACCTCTAAGATCTGCTGGATGGAACTGTTACAAGGTGACTTTAGCACGTGGGACCAGGACACTCTGCTTTGAAATTCAGTCACATTTTGTCCCAAGCAATGACAGAATTTTGGAACCTTTTTTAAAATATCAATGAGATTTTTTTCCTTGTTTACCATTCATTGATAGTATTCAGATATTACTTTTTTTTTACAAACGAACAGATTACAAAGTTCCTGACGTAAGCTTGATCTTCCCCTTTTCTGTTTCATTTGATCAGGGAAAGCGCAGCCTGTGCAGTAAAGTCCATTTTATTATTGCCTGTATGATTGATTTTATGGTGAATTGGTCTTTGGGTTCATTTTATTTGCATTTAAACTTGACGGGGGGGGATATTGATTATTTGGGATAGCTACCTGATTTAGGTTTGCACTGCTTTGGAGGAAATGGCCACGGCATTTGATTGAATCAGTTCATTGGAAGATAAATATGTTTAGTGGGAGCAAAGAACTACAGTTCCCAGAAATCAACCTGGTTCCTGCTTATAAACCAGAATGAGATTTTCTTTTTCCCTTGGATCAATTACACTTGCCAAAATACAAATATCACCTACAGTTATTCTCAGAGACTCTCAATATCGGCTCCCTTTAGTGTTCAGGGATTTAAGCCACTGGGATTCTGGCCTATGCGGATCCTGCAGTTACTGATTTTTGAATGTCTGATATTTTTCATGTTTTGCTTTAAATAAAAGAAAAACATATTCCTCCACTTTTCATGGCTTCTTGTATGACTTTATGAATATGCTCTCACATCAGGTTTGTTACATATTATATAGTAATAAAAATATTTTGGGGTACACAGCAGGCTGAACATAAGAATTCTATGTTCTGTAAATTGTTTACCTGAAATCTTTATAATAGAGGTGACCGAATTTCGGTTGCCGAATTGTTTCATCCGAGAACAGCCCTTTCAGCATTTTGCCGATATAAAAATACCATCCGATACAGGTGCCTGAAAACATTGCTATCCAGTGTCTTTTGCCCAGTGCAGTTGAGTAGAGAGAGAGTAGGTGTGGCTAAGGCAACTTGGTTCCTCCCTGCTCTGTTCTCTCCGGGAGAGATGTTGGTTGCGCTGCCCCCCTCCTACAGGAGAGAGACGTGGCTGCACAGTGATCCTTTGGCCATGCAATAACGAAGAGAGTAGGTGTGGCTGTGGCAACTTGGTTCCGCCCTGCTCCATCCTCCCCAGGGAGAGATGTGCGTTGCACTGCCCCCTCCTTCGGGAGGGAGGTGCAGCTGCGCAGTGATGCCTTGGCGCATGCCTAGTGTTAGTGGAGGTGTGGCGGGGAGAATGCCAGCTCCTTGGAGCTATAGTGAAGGGGGGAAAAAAGATGGTAATTGCATTGAAAAACTGCCAGTGACATATAGGGGCAGCCAGTGAGGGAGCCTGAGTGTATACACTGCTCCCTCACTGTATACACTGCTCCTCTCCCCCACAACGAGTACCTGTCACTCAAAAGCTATCACAGGGTGATTGGTCCCCTGTGTGATAGCATTAAAATCATAAGCTAAAAAATAAATAAAAATACACATTAAAGTTAAAAAAAAAACCAAAAAACTCCCCTCCCCACCCCCACCTATGCAGATGTTTCGGTTTTCAGCCATGTGAATTCTGAATTTTTTATACATTTTCTCCTGTGTTGAACACCATGCATATAACCATCTACGATATGTAGAAAATAATGTAATCTACGGTAGACTATATATTTGCAGATGTGCCTTTCCTGTCAAGTTCATTGTAGTTATGAATAATTGCTACTTTTCTTTTTTTCTACCTGACTGATGTGAGATGCATACTGTATGTGGTGGAACATTTATTATTGTTTATTACAGGTACTTGTATAACGCTGTCAATTTACGCAGCACTTTACATATATATTATACATTCACATCAGTCCCTAACCCTCAAGGGGTGTACAATCTAAGGTCCCTAACTTACGTTCATACATACACATACTAGAGCCAATTTAGACAGGAGCCAATTAACCTACCAGCATGTCTTTGGAGTGTGGGAGGAAACAGGAGTACCTAGAGGAAACCCGCACAGGAAGAACATGCAAACTCCAGGCAGGTGGTGCCATGGTTGGGATTTGAACCAACGACCCTAGTACTGCCAGGCGGAAGTGCTGACCATTTAACCACTGTGCTGCCCATTTTCTGATTGATCAAAGATTATCAGACATTATTGCCTACAGGAGTTGGAAATTTTTTGTAAAAAAAAAAATAAGCTACTTGCCCAAGGGACAATCTGGGTCCCCGTCTACTTGTCTCTCCATAATAAAAATAAATAACAAGCGAGCGCACGATTATTTCAAGCAGCTAGCATGAACGATGATCCCCTATATCCTCAAATATGACAATAAATAGATAATGCAGCGCTAAATTCTGAAAGTGACAAATGCAGATAAGGTGAAGTGTAAAATTATTGAGAGCTAAAGTGACCACAACACATATAGTGTATCGTCAAAAGTTGACGAGAAAATTAGTGACTGGAATTTCAAATAGTGACCGTGGTGAATAATTTCAATCAAATAATTGCAGTGATACACTTTGTAAATATTGATGAATAAATGTAAAGATGAAAAAATGAGTCCAAAGTGTTCTGTAAGATCTTCGTGCACGTGACTCCGTGACAAGGGTTTGTAGTATGATTGCACTCACCGGAAGCGCAATGATAATGCGCATACCTCATCCGCAGGTATCACCCACTCCGCTCCTCCCAATATATCTTCCTCTCTAGCTCCCTCATCACCTCCTCTCACGCTTGCCTCCAGGACTTCTCCAGAACCTCTCCCATCCCCTGGAACTCTCTACCACAGCATGTCCGCTCAGCCCCCACTCTGTCTGCTTTTATGCGATTTTTGAAAACTCACTTATTCAGGGAAGCCTACCCCACCTCCTCCTAAGAACTGCTTGAATCACCTCCACCAGATCATCCCCCACAGCTGTCACCTTTTGTATCACCTCCCCCTTCCTTTAGATTGTAAGCTCCACAAGCAGGGCCCTCACATTCCTTCTGTACTGAAATGTATTGTAATTGTACTGTCTCCCTTATATTGTAAAGTGCTGCGCAAACTGTTGGCGCTACATAAATCCTGTATAATAATATAACCAATTTATCCCCGGTGAACTTCTGGGCTCAGGAAAGGAAAAAAGGAACTCCACTGGCACACTGACAGCATACAGGGAATAACTTCAGACCTCACTCACTGGACCTTCACAGCACACAGGGACACCTCTGCTAGTACCTCTCCACCAAGGATAAAGGTTGCCAAAAGAGGATATTCTCCACCTTGAAATGAAATGGCTGTTTCTCTCTGCTTGCTCACAGCAGCGGTGCCATGTAAATCTCCGATAAAATGGTGCCGGCGTCATTTGGGTTGATGTTTATTAGGCAGAGGTGCTTTTAAAAATAACACCTAAACTTTTAATGTTTATAACATAGTGCTGTTTGTCCCCTCCATGTCCCTGCCTGTCTCCAGCACCGCACCTGGGAACTACCAGAAAGGGGTGAGAGCTTGCAGTGTAGTGAGCACTGATTGGGTGCTGCTTAGGTACCTTAGGAAGCACTTGGGTTCTCAGTGCAAGCGCATGCTGAGCAGCCAAATCAAACTCCAGTGTTTGCTCAGTTAACCCCTTGAAGACCAGGCCTTTTCTAGCTTATTTGTTTACATGTAACAATCAGTATTTTTTTGCTAGAAAATTTCTAATAACCCCCTAACATAATATACAGTGCGTTTGAAAAAGTATTCATACACCTTGAAATTTTCCACATTCTGTCATGTTACAACCAATAATGTAAATGTATTTTAGGTGACCAACACAAAGTGGCACATTATTGTGAAGTGGAAGGAACATGATAAATGGTTTTCAACCTTTTTTACAAATAAATATCTGAAAAGTGTGGTGTGCATTTGTTTTCAGCCCCCTTTACTTTGATACCCCTAAATAAAATCTAGTGGAACCGATTGCTTTCAGAAGTCCCCTAATTAGTAAATAGAGTCCACCTGTATGTAAGTTAATCTCAGTATAAATACAGCTGTTCTGTGAAGCCTTCAGAGGTTTGTTAGAGAACATTAGTGAACAAACAGCATCATGACGGCCAAGTATCACACAACACAGGTGAGGTATAAAGTTGTGGAGAAGTTTAAAGCAGGGTTAGGTTATAAAAAAAATATCCCAATTCTTGAACATCTCATGAAGCACTGTTCAATCTATCATCCAAAAATGGAAAGAGTATGGCACAACTGCAAACCTACCAAAAACCCACCTAAACTGATAGGCCGGGCAAGGAGAGCATTATTCAGAGAGGAGGCCAACATGACTGCGTGCCAGTGCACAGAGCAATGTCCATAAAAGACATACAGTTGTGGCCAAAATTATTCAACCCCCACTGAAATTGAGTGTTTTGGCCAGTTTGACATTGCTTTTGATCATTCAGTCATCTTGCTTACATTTACATTAAAGAGGCACTTGTAGGTCAGACAAACAAAGTATAACATAACAGTTATAATGAAATAACCACAAATGTCTTTTCTGTGCTCACAGCATTATCAGTTTTATTCAACCCCCAAGTGACATTCAATCTTAGTACTTAGTACAGCATCCTTTTACAGTTATAACAGCTTTTAAACGTGAAGCATAGCTTGACACAAGTGTCTTGCAGCGATCTACGGGTATCTTCGCCCATTCTTCATGGGCAAAGGCCTCCAGTTCAGTCACATTCTTAGGCTTGCGCACTGCAACTGCTTTCTTTAAGTCCCACCAGAGGTTCTCAATCGGATTTAAGTCTGGTGACTGCGATGGCCACTCCAAAATGTTCCAGCCTTTCCTCTGCAACCATGCTCTAGTGGACTTGGAGGTATGCTTGGGATCATTGTCCTGTTGAAA